TTTTTTTCTTCTTTTAAATAAGAAAAACACGAAATAATAACATAACGTTGCGAAAAAATAAAAAAAAAATCTTGCATGTGTTTAGAAAAAAAAAAAAAAAAGAAAAAACTTAAGTACGATTTATGTTTTCTTTTTTCTTTTTTTTTACTTCTCTTCTTCTTTCTTTTTTTTTTTTTGTATTCGTAASAAAAATTACATGTCAAATCGCGTTTCATAAACGTTTTCCGATTCGATCATATTTCTTCGGTGATTTAAAATTGTTACTTTTTTTTTTTCTTCTTTTAAATAAGAGAAACACGAAATAACATAACGTGACGAAAATATAAAAAAAAAAAATCTTGCATGTGTTTGGAAAAAAAAAAAAAAAAGAAATAACTTAGGTACGATTATTCTTGAAAAAAAAAAAGAAAGAAAGAAAGAAAAAAAATAATTACGCATTTTTTTTGATATCTTCTCGCAACACGAAGGAATCTCATTAGGCAAAGAAGATAAGGATTTGTGTTACGGAAAGGAAATAACGACAAAGAAATCTTACCTTTCCACTTGTAAAGAGGAAACGTTACTTTACCACCGAGATAAGAAGTAGTACCCCGGTGGTTTTTAACCGCACGCGTTTTATATATTTTTCTATTCTTTACCAGTGTTATAGAAATACTTGTTGAGTATAGGTTCCGTTCTATCAAATTGTTATTACTTTTCTAAGAAAATCTAAAGGTATGGAAAAAAAAAACGATAATATAAAATATAATAATAATAATAATATTTATTATTTATTATTTATTTATACTCCGTCCCTTTCGGGTTTGGAGGGCTTCCGATACAAAATATTTAACATCTCTTATATATACTCTATCTCAATATATTCTAACTTTATAACAAATACTAAACTAAAACCAATTTTTTGAACTAACTAACACATAACAAAACAAAACAAAACACTTCTATATACATAATAATAATAATAATAATAATAATAGTAGTATATTTGTCGTAGAACAATTGAATAATAATTACGATAATTTTATATCTATTAAATTTTTCATTGACATCATAAAAATGAAAAGCAATAGCAATATACTAATTTATTCCCATCCCATTATAAATTGTATACATTCAAATTATATGACCGTGATTTATATTAATTCGGGACGCACAAATAGAACGATCTTACTACGATGAAGAAATTTGAATTGAATCCAATATATATTATTAAATCTCTCGTACGCGATACTAGTTCAATTCAAATTTAATTATACATACATAGGATGTATGCTCTAAAGGGGAGGGGTGGAGGAGATTTTTATTCTTATACCTTTATGAAAAAAACAACGCGTGAGAAATGTTATTATAATAATAATAATAAGAATTGTAAGAAAATTGTTATACGCAATTCAGCCTTGTTCTCAGAGATTTTATCCAAGTATATAGGGTGTCATTTGATTTCTTTTGTATTCTTCTATACAATTCTCTTGTATATTAGGATGAATCAAAAATTCGTGCGTTTTTTTTTTTTTTTTTTTTTGGTTTAATTAATATTTTCAAAATAAATATTTACCAAAAACAATCGATTATTTTTAACAATTTATTAACACGATAAACACTTTGGATAACGTAATAGTAGTAATCGTAAAAAATCGAATGTTGCACATACAACGGGAAACGAAATTTCAATTGGTTAAACTTTGATTTGATTTGATTTTCTTTCTTTCTTTTCAGGTCAGCTCTGCAAACGTTACACAAGGTGTCGAGCAAGGCACGCGAACAAAACTATTTCCTGGGTGGATTATCTCATGATTGGGTCAGTTACTATGAACAACGAATCGAGAGTGATCGGTCGTGCCTCAACGAGTGGCATGCAATGGATAATTTGGAATCCCGACGACCACCCTCTCCGGATAGTGTACGCAACAAGTGAGTACCACCCCCCGCCCTCTACCCCTTTCACATCCCTTTTTCTGCTAACGCAAAAAAAAAGAAAAAAATATTAACAGTAGAATTATCACGAGAAACCAATCACGATAATTGAGAAGATAATAACCAGTTTGCATTTTGTCTGCAAATTCAAATAAGAAAAATAAATCCACCCTAATTGTTACTCATTTATAATCAATCGAGGAATAATTTTATCAGAGAAATCATATACTTTCATATTTATCGTCACCTAGTTTTTTTTTTTTTTTTTTTCGAATAATTCGCTAACGTTTTATAAACACACACACCACGGTATCGTGTAAAAAAAATAAGAAAAATGTTGAAACTGTTTTTTTTGTTTTTGTATAATACGTTTGCCAGCAAATTTTATATCCGTTTCATGGCCGTTCAAATCATTTTGGCCGTTGATAAACTAAAATAAATATTTGTTATTTGAATTTAGAAACAATTTAATTTTGTAACAAAATAATATGCGTGGTGGCACGGGTAACTGACCGAATTGTTGTTAGTTGAATATTTATGATTTATGTGCTTGACTCGTGTATATTTAATATTACGATGCCAATATACGAAAGTACAACTAGTCTGCATTATTATTATTATTATTATTATTATTATTATTGTTGTTGTTGTTTTGTTTTTTAATATAAATATATAGGAATAATTAATAATAATTACTAGTTGAAATAATTTCTCATTTATATCGCGCGTAATATTATAATGAATTATTTAATATTTTGAGAAACTTATTGGACACACGAGTGTAATTTTATTTTTATTTTTATTTTTTACATATCTTTTTTTTTTTTTTTTCGATATATCAAGGTGATATTATTATGTGTATGCAAGGTTAATACATTTTATTTTAATACCGCGTTGATGTCGATGGAAGGACGAATTCAGTGACCTATAATATAATGACATTGAGTCGACTCAATAAGATATAAATATAAAAATATAACATATTAAAAAAAAAAATCAATTTGCATCCCGTCCCTTTATATAAGTCCCTTTTAAATATGATCGTATAATTTTTTGTATTAAAAACATTTTTAATTTATAACCGACATAAACTTACAATTCATTTCGAATAAATATATAGTAAACATTTTTTCTTATACTCAATTAAACATTAAATAAAACAAATAAAAAAATACGTATTAAAACGATCCGATAAAAAACAGATATACGAAATGATATATAAATATCCGGATGTAATGGAAAAAAAAAAAAGAAAAAAGATTAGAAATAAACTATAAGACTTCGGGCCGGGGGGATAGGGGAAGGGAGGGTATCATTTACTTCGAATCTTTCAATCGATCCATAACAAGAGGGCCACGTGAATAAAAAAGAATATTTTTCAAACGATTCTCGATTCGATTCGATTCGAGAATAATCGATAGGAGGGAACCACCACCGGATCCTTTTCAAAAACCAGCTGGTAGAGTTAGTCCGCGCGGATTTAGCTTGGTTCCTTGCCAAAACTCGATCGTTTCTGACGTATTTACTTTTCTACGTGTATATAATATGTGTATGTGTATGTCTGTGGATATTTCACACAAGCTGAGAGACTAACCGAGAGCATAACTTTATCACCGTCCTTCAATTATTTCCAGTTTCTACGTCTGACCCCCCTTCTCTCTCTTTCTTTCTCTTTCTCTCTGATTGGTTCTCTTTCTACTCCCTCCCCTCAACTCTTCTTCCCCCACCCCTCAACTTCCTCCAACCCCCACCCGTCTTTCTCAAAGGTATTGGATCAGTCGATTATTGTATATTTATGAATGTTATATGAAGGAATTACCGGTTTCGTTGGTTACCACCCCCTTCTCTGAATATTCCGCTCACGTATTTCTTTCTAACGCCGTTTTACCCTCAACGAGACCGCCGCCGCCGCCATTACGCGTCGCTTATACGACCTCCGCCTGTAGTCATATAAATTATTATTGTTGAAACGATTCGTAGCTATAAAACCGAGGAAACTTTTGCTCATTAAATTACGTTTTGTCTGAATTGATCTCTTCCAGGATTATTTTTCGCATAGTTTTTTCTTTGTTTTTTCTTTTTTTTTTTCTAAAAGGAACAATTTCCGATCGTTGAAGTTTAAAGTAAACTTTTCGACACACATTTCCGGATAAGATTTGATTATGGATCTATTTTTAATGTAAAATCATTTTATTTATTTCAAATTTATAATTCATGTTCTCGTGCTAAATTATTTATATATAATATAATAATATAATTAATAATAATAATAAAAAACTGATGCGTGTATTTATGTACGCAACGTAAGAAGTTATACTTCTTTAGCTTATCAAAACGAACATAACCTCAATAACCTCAAAAATAACTTCAATTTTCCCGCGCATCGCGTAAATATCGACAACTTCGTGGGTGTCGATTTTTCGGTCGCATCTAACTTAACTTTTCAAAACGCGCGCCAAAAGAAATATAACTTCAATAATATATTATTATATTGTATCACATAAAATGTTTTTAAAATAAATAATATGATCCGTATATTATAATATATAAATTGTTTACAAATTAGAATATAATCTCTATATTAATTTAATAAAGAAGAAGAAACAAAAACAAAAAAAGAACAATCGTGGCACGATCAACCTGTAAAATTTCTCGGTGAAAATCTTTGAAACACTGACCTATATCAAATTTTTCTTGGAAATGAACACACCGCTGGCCCATGTAGTTACACGCGCTCTACTACTGACCGAAATAATTTTTCTACTCTTACTAAAGAGAATAAAAAATAAAAAATTGTTTGAGAGAGTTCGTAGTAGACCTCTTCCCTTTGTTATTTGTTTCCCTCAACGGGTTCGATGATATATATACAAGGGGGGGATATGCGAAACGCACGTACGAATTCGTGAAATAGATTCGAGCACCGAAATGGGCGGATTAGGGGTGGGGGAGGAGGAGAGGAGGGAAGAAGAGGGTCGCAGTCGTAAACAAAAAGAAAAAAAAAGATGTGTTTCGTTTGATCGTGCTAATACCCTAATCCCCATATTTGGGCATCAACTGACCTACATAAATTCTTGGAAGTTGTTAACTCGGTTCGATGATTCTTAATACGATGTATAGTATGTTTATACTTTTAAAGATACCATAAGGATCTGTTATTAACCCTTTGTGAACGAAATTGTTCAAAGATGTGTTCTCTGTTGTAGAGTTGATCATTAAAATGGTTAACGCCCCACTTTTGGTCGTGTATTATACATACTACGATATTTATATACCGATTTATTATTCGATAAATATAACGATACTATTATTATAATGTTAGGTTATTAAATAATATTAAAAAAAAGTATTAATTGTTTACTTATTAAAATTCATTTACATTATTAAATAAAATAAACGTTTGTTTGATATTTCACTTTTTTATTCCAATTCTATATAATATAATTTTATATAATTATAATTATATGTTAGAAAATAAAAATCACACACACACGCAAAAGATTGTTGTTAGTAATAATAACGAAGAAGTTTTTTCTTTCGTAACAAAAAAAAAAAAAAAACAAATATCTTTTATAATTATTAAAATGATATACATATTATGTGTTTTTTTTTTTATGTTAACATTAATATAGACCAAGCGAAAGAGACGAGACAGAACGAGTGATTCGATCAACGTTAAAAGAAATCATGATGTCGGTTGACCTCGACGAAGTTACCTCGAAATACATCCGAGGAAGATTGGAGGAAGATCTTGATATGGATTTAGGTGAATTTAAACCGTTCATCGATCAGGAAATGCTCACAATACTGGGACAAATGGATGCGCCTACTGAAATATTTGATCACGTTTATCTCGGTAGCGAATGGAATGCGAGTAATTTGGAGGAATTACAAAAGAATGGGTATAGAAATTTATGTTAACAAATAAATAATTCACATTTTCCGCGTATAGAATATATAATATAATATATATTATAATAATTATATATATATATTAATATATTATAATAATTATGTATATATAATAATAAATATATATTAATAATAATTATATATAATATAGTTGAAATATAATATTATGTATATATATCCTATCTTTAAAATAAATTCATTTATCTAATCTATATATCTTTATGTTTTTCAGGGTGAGACACATCTTAAACGTGACCCGTGAAATAGACAATTTCTTTCCGGGAATGTTCACGTATCTGAACGTTCGCGTTTACGACGATGAGAAAACGGATTTGTTAAAGCACTGGGATGACACGTTCAAGTATATAACTAAAGCAAAGAAGGAAGGTTCGAAGGTATTGGTGCATTGCAAGATGGGCGTTTCAAGGTCAGCCTCGGTCGTGATAGCATACGCGATGAAGGCCTACAATTGGGATTTTTCTCAGGCGTGGAAACACGTCAAGGAAAAGCGCAATTGTATAAAACCTAACAACAGTTTTCTATTACAATTGGAAACGTATCAGGGTATTTTAGACGCCATGAAGAACAAAGAAAAATTACAAAGATCGAAATCGGACACTAATTTAAAATCTCCTTCGTCGGTGAAAGATCAATCGAAGAAGGAAGAAAAAATTGATAATAGAAATAACGGTTTGCAAGAGATATCCGGTTTGGAATTGAAGAAAAGTAATCAAAGGCCCAAAAGTTGGTCGCCTAACGTGGAACTAGCGGAAAACATGCTTCCATCTGGTAAAAATCTATTTCTTTATTTGATCGATTTAATAATAACCCTTTCGTTATACTACGGACGACTATAAGTCGTCATTATTTTCTAGATTAGGTTGAATTTTATTTCTTAGAATACGTACGTTATATTCAATATATTTTCTCGAGTTCTTTTATTATTTTCTATTACATCTTTTTATTAATAACTTTCTTATTATTAATTTTCATCATTTTTCATATATCGTTAAACTTTGAAATCGTTATCTATGAGAAAATAACGAACAAGTTGGTGGATTCGTTAGACAAATAAAAAATCGCCTGTAGCGAAAGGGTTAAGAATTGTGCTTAAGTATATATAATTGATAGTTATTGTTGTATCATTTTAGCTCCACTGTCGCAATCATTAGAAAGTATAGACAAAGTAGGAAGCACGGAGGTGACGAGGGAAGACCTTTTACGTGGTTCGAATCAAAAATCAACGATAGATCAAGAAGCACGGAACGTTTTGATGCCTTGTGATAATGGTCAGTCTTATAGCGTGTCCCAGAATCAGATAGTTCATCTTCCGGGTCCTGACACACCTTGCACGAAACACAAAACCGCGACGAACAAATCGGAAACGCAAGGTCAAAGACGAAAGGGTTTGGTTTTGAATCTGACGAATCAATTTGAAGCAGCTAGTAGCAAGCCCTCATCTCCTGGTTCGGATTCGGACGGTAAACCATTGCCCCAAAGTCCAGAAGAAATTGAAGAAGAAAAGCCATTGGAAAATGGTCTTGATCGATCTCAAGGTACAACATCGGACTCTTTGACGGTCGAACAAGTGGTCTGGGATCCAGGTGAAAAAAGACGTAGAAAGAAAGAAGAACAAGGTGGAGAGAATGTAAATGACAGTGAATGTCTAGTCTGGACAGCAACGACCGACGCAACGTGCTCTGACTCGTGCAATAGCCTCAAGGCTAACGGAGAAATAGTGAGTAACAGTGAGAATAATGAATGTGTCGCGTGTGGACCAACGACTGCAGCACCTATGACGGTAACAACGAGTATGACGACTATGACGACTATGACAATGACTACGACGACAACAACAACGACGACGACGATAACAACTGCAACGACAACTGCGACGACGACGACGACGACGACTAGTCTCGGTAGGAAAGTGAAAAGGGATGGTGATCCGTTCAGTGCACAGTTGGACAGGGTGTTTGATCGCGAGGAAAGACGTGGCGAACCGAGTACGAGGGATTCGCCAAGTAGACAAAGTTCTTGGAGTAGTTACGATAGCGCGGTTGTTCTCGACAACAATTCGGTGCACAGCTCGTGGGCAACTTTACCTTCGAGAAACAGTTCCTGGGGATCATACGATATGAGACCCTCCGACCTCTTAGGATCAAGCGGTCTTTTCCCTTACGACAAGGAGGAAATACCTTGGCATCCTGGAACGGTCAAACGTACCAAGCAAAAACTCGAAGAAGGTGTCAGCACTGCCGGCGTTAAACGCGTTTGTACTCAAAATTCTGACGCCGAGGATAAGGACAGATTGTTGACGGCCGAATCGGATGAGGTTCCTGTCGAAGGTTACAATTCTCTTTTACTTCACCACCACACTTCTTCTTCGCCAACCCCACGAAGGAGGGATTCCTCGCCTAGCCAAGAAACGTCTAATCTCAAAGTAGAAACAGCGAGAAATTCGCCGAGCCCGCTCGGTGGTATCGACATTTCACCGGTTTCTATACGACAAGTCGGAAGATTGTCAACCAGCGCGCCAGCACCTTCCTCCTTATCTTCCGATTCTGATCTACCTGCGTCTTTGAGATCGTGCAGATCCGAAAGCGAAACGTCCAGTCCCTGCGTCGTTAATACAACCCAATGTCCCTCGGTGAAACATCATAAAATGGTCCTCGAGAATCTTAGCAACAAATCGATGTTTAGCAAACGATGTTTATCCGTGGACGATTCACCGGAATCCGAGTGTCCAAGGAGTTCATCTGGTATCGTTAAGAATCTCAAAAAGGAATTCGAGGCAAAATCAACGAAATTAGAGAAGAACTTTTCCGATAGTGCCTGTGATAATCATCACGAGGGCTCGTCGATCGTGTCGCGACCGAAAAGGGACGTTAAGATTCGTAGTTTACCGTCATCTCCGGTAATACCTCACAACGAATCAAAGATCCAAGCCTCGTCTAGCGTCGGTGAAACCAAAGACAACAAAGAGGTTAAGGGAAACGATTCTAGCGTTGTCCAAAACGCTACGGAAGATCTCTCGGTTAGGGTGTTGGTTGGTAAATACGAAGTGGCCAAGCCGTCATCGGCGGACTCTAAAAGATCATCGGACGTACAGTTGCGTAGTCACAAGGACAAGGAGTGGGACTCTATGGAGGTTCATCCACCTGCTAAGTCGAAAATTGCGCCAGAATTTGCCAGGAGATCGGCCCCAATTATGATCAATAATAATCACTCTAATGTGCTTTTTGGCGAAACGACGAGCGAAACACCTGGTAGACCACCTGTACCTTCGCCCAGTATCGTTGTCGCTAGCGTAGTGGCTAAGGCAGCTAGTAAAAAACAACAGCAGCACGGCAGAACTCATCCGCTTGCCAGGCTGCAGGTCAGGCCTAGGCACAACAGTCCAGTTTACAATACCATGTAAAAAATGGATTATCAAAGAACAAGGAACAAGAAGAGAAGAGAAGAGAAGAGAAGATTAAATACTCTTTTGACGCTGAACGAGCGATTTACGTTTATAGGACGACTGATAAAATGAGTGTGTTAAAATCGCGCGTTTGCCAACGTGTGTAGCGAGTCTTGCTAGGTTGGCATTTTTAAGTAACCCCTTGCCCTCCCACCGCCCCCTCTTCTCCCCCGTCGTCAATGACTCCCTCAAATCCTCCCCGCCACGATTGAAACCGTGTGATCTCTTACATGCCAACGCGAGTGGTTGTTGGTTGCTGCTCCTCGAACAGATTTTTAAATGCGATACTGCGTGCGATGAGAATGTTTTTAAATAATTATCGAGTTAAAGTGAAAGAGAAAAAGAAAGAGAGAAAATATCAAGATTCGTCGTTCGCGCCTCTGTTTCGAGGGGGAAAAAGAAAAAAAAAGGATGATCTTTAATTTTTCTTCTTTACTTTTCTTATCTTTTCTTTTCTTTCTTTTTTTTTGTTGTTCTTTTACTTTCCCTTTTTCTAATCACATTATTGAAAACTGTTGTTAAGATAAACGAACAACCAATCTTTAGTTCCTTCCTCTTTCAGAGATGCGTCAATACATATCTTTGGCTTGGTGTATTAGTTAAATTGTCTCTGCACGCGGAGATGAGAAATGGTGCACAGTTGAAAATCAGAAAGAAAATAGTATAGAAGAATAGAAATATAGAATTAAAAAATAGAATAGAATAAAATAGAATAGAAGAAAAGGAAAGGAAAGGAAAGGAAAGGAAAGGAAAGAAAAGAAAAGAAAAAAAAAGAACAGAAAAGAAAGTGAAAGGTCTACGAAAATTGTTATTCCTAATTTAACATCTCGTCGTAAAATTAGCGTTGTTGTATAGAGTATAAATATAGACGTGAAAAATCAAACGTTGCGTTATCTTTATGATAATACAAAAAGTAATAATGTACATTGTACACGACGACGACGACGTTTGTGCTTGATTATAATGATGATGATGATGATTATGATGATAATGGTGAAAATATGATGATGATAATGATGATAATGATAATGATGATGATGATGATTATGATGATAATAATAATTATAATAATTATAATAATAATAATGATGATGTGAGATAAAATATTATATGAACCGATTAATGTATGTATGTTCCAAGGAACGCGTGAAGCATCGTCGTTGGCTTTTTTTTGTTTCCGTTTAAAATGGCGAATGCTCAGTCAGGCTGTGAATGTAAGGTCTGGGCATCGCTCATGAAGAAGACGTAGCTTTTTTTTGGTTTCTTTTCAGCTTCGCTTTCAGTTTCTTCAGGATACGTAATATTAATAATTACGGATTATATTGATAATGATAATAATTACAATAAAACAAAAAAAGGATACATAAATCATCGGAAATAATGTTAAAACGTGAAAGAAATAGAGAGAGAGAGAGAGAGAGAGAGAGAGAGAGAGAGAGAGAGTGATAGAGAAGGTGGGAAAGGGGTGGGGGGAGGGTGGGGAAGAAAAAAGCAAAAGAAAAGAGGATAATCTATCTAATCTATGGCATTGTTGGGGAGTGATTAATTATTGAAACGTTTAAAAGAAAGGTTATATATTAAAAAAAGAAAAATGAAAAAAAAAGAAAGAAAGGCTATACGAGGAGGACACCTCGGAGATCGATTTTAATTAATAAATAAAAAATGGAAAATAAATATAAATGAATAAATGAATAAATAAATAAATAAATAAATAGATAAATAAAAATGAAACGGATAAAAACAACACTATTAGCAATTTATAGTGAGTCTCATGTGATTAGAAAGAAAGGAAGAGAAAGGAAGAAAAGTATGTACTTTTTAAGTGGTGCGATGTAATAACACAAAATTAGCAAATGAGAGAAAGTAACGAATGTTTAAAAAGAGCGATTGTCAATAAAAAAAAAAGCGCGAGTGTGATTCGATGAAGGTACTGGGATCGGTGAGCACCCGATATATATGTATATGTATATGTATATGTGTATATAATTCGAATTTAATTACCTCTATTCGAATCGTTCCCGTCAAAAGAACAAAATAATTCATTTAGCTCAGATCGGAGCTTCTTTTATCTGTTGTGTTGTTCTAACTCGATATATAAGAAATAAGAAGAAGAATAAAGAGAAATGGTAAGAAAGAAAAAATAAAAGAAACGATTCTCGCACACGATATAATAATAATAATAATAATATGTATATTATGTTCAACTATTCGGGTATAGAAAAGATAGATAGATAGAAAGAAAGAAAGAAAGAAAAAAAAATAATAGTCTCGTTATCACGCTCACGAGATGCATGTACCTTCATATTTTAATTGATCGTTAATTATCCTACTATTTGTACTCTTACTATTATAAATCGTCGTGTTTAAGTAATTACGATTAATTCAGTTCGATCGATCGTATTAATCCGCTTCATAATATCGCTGTTGTCACTACCTTTTTTCTTTTTTTCTTCTCTCATTGTTCCCATTTTTTTTATATTTTACTTTTATTTCTCCAATTATGTTCTTCTTTTTTCTTTTATTATTACATTTTATATATATGTATATATATATGTATAAATAAAAATATACATATACATATATATATATATATATACATAAATACATATATATATATATATACATGTGTATATATATGTATTTATCATATTAAACTCCTGCAAACCAAAAGTACAAGATTAGCTGTTAAAAAAAGAAAAAAAAGAGAAGAAGGGCTGCGAGACGTGACGCGTAGATTATATTCATCGTCCTTTCGAAACATATCATCGATTCGTCGTTCATTTCTTTACCCCCCCCCCCCTCCTGCCGTTCTCCCCCATTTTTCCATCCACCATTCACCCCTCCCCCCCTTTCGACAAACGAGGAAAGTCATCTATCTCGAGATCGGGACGCTATTGAGAGTTTAGATTTTGAACAAATGATAATGAAGAAGAATAAGAAGAAAAATAATAATAATAATAATAATAATTAATAATAATAATTAATAATAATAATAATAATAATAGTAAAAATATACACACAAATTACAAATACAAATAAATTAATTATAAAAAGAAAGAAGATCATAATGTGTGCGATATCCACATCACAGTTTTATCGCATATTGACGACTAATTTTTTATAAAAATACATACATACATACATACAATACATAACATATAACATAACATATTACTCTTCGATGAACAACGCGACTATTTTGCAGGAGCGTAATGCCAATGTTCGTAATTTTACAGAAGCGCACTACGATTACCGTGTATAAATATATTTTATTACCGTACGACTTTTTTCAACCAAATAAATAAAAAGAAGCTCGTCGAGAAGATCGTTTTAGGCCAATCGATATGCGATAACTATAGCAGAGAGCGAGAAAGAGATATAAAGAAAGTAAAAAATTCAAGTTCACTCCAAAGTCCCTCCTCCCACTTCAGCTAGAAAAGTTAATTATTATTATAGTCTAATTAAGTAAACTCGTTCTACGAGGATTTTGAAATGAATGCCACCACGTCGTAGAAAGAGAAAGAAAAAGAAAGAAAGAGAGAGAGAGTTCCTTTTTAATATTCTTTATTTTATTTTCTTTTATTTTTTTTTTTATTTTTTTTTTTTTAAATAACGAGAGTGTCCTCTCTTTCCAACGATCATTATAATTTGTTTGTTCAATTATATTTTTAGTATAGCTTTATTATAGAAATCGAAAATTCGAATGTAAGAAGATAAAAAAAAAATGTCGTAATAGAAAATGAAGAAGAAGAAGAAGAAAAAAAATGATTTAGGTACTCGTCGTTCGAGCGTCGTCTTTTTAAGAAAAAAAAAACAAAACAAAACAAAAATTATGGAAAAGAAAAAAAACAACGCGCGCGCGTTCTTGCTCTCTAAGCGTGTTCGAGCAAAACTTCTCTTTATAAGCGTGTAATCCTAGCGCCAAATAAAAGAAAAAAAGAAATATAAAATAAAATAAAATAAAATAGAGATAGAGAGAGTCGGCCATTTTTCGAGTCTATCGAAAAAAAAATTTCCTCCTCGAATATCAAGTAAGTAAGTAAGTTTGTATTTCTCGCGAATCGATGTGTCCCAACATTTTCAAACTAATTAATCTATATTTCATCATTTTCACCCCCCTCATTCTCTCATTCCTCCCTCCCTTCCTCCTCACGGTTCCTTACATTCAGTCCCTTCGTAAAATACTTTCCTAAAGTAATTCCCACCACCTCCCCCCTCATTTTGATTACTTCCTCGCTCCTCCTACGTTCACTGTCCATCATCCGCTTAAGTGTGTGCGTTTAATAAACGAGAAATTGTGCGTATCATTATCCACATGCGCGTTATTTTAACGTGTGGGAGAAATAATGTGGAGAAAAGAAAAAAAGAAAAAAAGATTTAAAAAGAAAAAAAAAAGAAAAAAAAAAAAAGAAAAAAAAATAATAATAATAATAAAAAGAAAACCGTGCGTTGTTCTGTGTAAATTTTGTACCATAGTTTGTATTAAATAAAATACATTGTTTATTGCTTGAGAAAGATCAGAGATGGTGGAGAGTATGTATGTGTACCTTTTGTTCCTTAATTATTCGCGCGAAACATATAAATCTTGACACCTTGACAGGTGAAAATCAATTCAATTGGATTTTAATTTCGAAAATTGTTGTACCGGAACAGAAAGCGAGTTTGGGCAAATGCGCTTCTGGTTGTTTCGTTCTTTTCGCATATTTCGTATCGATCGGTCCAAGTGCCATATTGTAGACACCTTCAGACAAATTTTTCACCATTGCCAAGGTCTACGACGACGAAAATAAAAAAACAAATGAAAATTACGTGATATTTTAATATTTGATATCTGATAAGTTTAAAGTATCTTTGATTAGAGACAAACTTACGGAGTGAGAACGCAGATCAACGATTCTAAATAAATTTGCATCCGTTCCTCCGCATGCAATAAAAAGATTACTTATATAGTTTCCACAATAGAGCATGGAAGATAAGTTATCAGGATCGAGACTTGTTATGAGTTTGCCACTTCCATAATCCCACAACTGAATGGGATCTTTTCTTTGCCAAGCGCATGTCAGGATCTTTTTAAAAAGTAAAATAACAAGACTATCTGAATAGAGTCTTTAGATAGATAAATAAATAGATAGATAGATAGATAGAATAAATAAATAAATCATTAATACATCTTTTCCATTCTGACTTATATCAAGGCCATCTCCGCACATGTGAACACCCGATATATGACGAAGAGCGTATGGTTGTCGAGTATCCCAAAACATTACGGTGTCGTCCCAACCACCGGTTATTATCTCGTGCGCTGATTTTGGATTAAAACAGGCAGCAAATACTCGAGACTTGTGTCCGTCTATTGCGTCCAGTGTTTCACTTGAAAACAAATAATTTTGTTGTTTGTTTTAATATTTGTTTTCATTTTGTATAAGATTAAATCGAAGAAAACTAAATGATACCTCGCATGAAACACCCTTTCCTGAATTTTTGTTTCTTCGTCGTACAAACAGACGTTTGTATCATCGCCAACCGTTACAAATTTTGGCAAATTAGGATGATAAGCTAAACCTAATGTTTGTCTTTTCTCCCTTATCGTGTAGAGACATTGTGAACTTGGATAATGCCAACATTTGATGCATCCATTTACATCTAATAATTATATTGATTATTCGAAACATCAATTATCTAAAAATAATCGGTTATCGATCGAAAGTTACAATATATTTTAAATAAAGATGCTAACAAGTAGCGATTAGAGTGTTAGTTATCGGATGTGTTTTTCGAACAGGTCTATGTTTGACAGCCGTTACTGATCCAGGATTTTGTATAATTTCAGTATCACGAAGAGATTTAGCTTTTTCACCGGTATTAGCTTTATACAATTGTATGGTTCCATCGGTTAATCCTGCCGCCAAAAATTCAAATGTTTCCGTATAAGTTATACATAATACATCCAATTCTGTTTCTCTGAAAACAATTATGAGTTATCATCAAAGACTATAGCCAAGGGGTAAGAAAATGTGATAAACCTACATCTGCTTAGAAACGATTATGTTACCATCTAATCGATATGAACTTGATTTTTCAGAATCAGCCAATGAACGAGTGGTAGGATTCATTTTAATTTAATAACATATAAATTTAGTTCTACGAATAAATCGTTATTTAATTTTATCTATAATTTTATTGGTTATGTGTCATTTTCATATTTATCACTAATTTATTTATAATTATCTCATTTACTTTTGTATATTTCATAAATTTAAAACTTTTCTTTTTTGCGTTATTTCTTTACCGTCTTCATTTTTTTAATCCTAAAAATGTTTTTGCAAAAATATAACATATTGATTAATTTCAACAATTTCAAATTTATTTCGTTGTATGCGTATGGTAAACCGAGCTCAATGGTTCGATTAAATCGAATTAAAATATAAAAAAAAATAAAATAATTGTATTTTATATTAAATTTTTATATATTATTATATGCAAAAAATAATTATTTTCTTTTTCTAATTAATAATTAATAAAAAAAAGTACTATATATTTTAGATTATGCTCATTGATATGCTTCTTGACAATCTCGAAAGATTTTAAAAACTAGAGTAGTTACTTTTTAGCGGCATGAGGCTGTTCATTCGTAGATACTATTGTCATGGAAAAGTCAAACGTGAATTAGACATTTAAATATTTCTGCTATAATAATCAAAAGTCCGCGAGGTACATTAAATATATCGCATTATATAATTTAAATAAGAATTTTTCTTTTAAATAAATTTTTAGATATTAAATAAGAACATAACCTAACCTCCGAAATAAGCAGTCTCTTCTTGGTAAGTTTAGAAATGTTTAAACGTGATGGAAAACTTTTATGTAAAATAAGATATACATTTATTATCATAAAATATTATAATAATAAAATATACACAAATTTAATGCAACACATTAATTTTCTATTTTATAATTTCTATAACGTTGTTATTTCTAGTTTTAACAATGATGAGCCAAGGAAGCCAAATAGATTGTAACATAAATATATATTTTGTTATTCCAAACAAATATAAATCTGAAAATGAATGTTCTATTCATATGTGGAATGCTTTTGATGTTCGTACACAATTATAAAATTGCAATGATATATTTCCAATCGATAACAGAATAAATCAGATCTTATTTAATATCATTATTTCAGAAATGCTGTGATTATAATATTAAATCTATATGGATTACCGAACAGGATTGTCAAGAATTAAAACCTGAGAAGACAGATATATTAGTATTAGAAGAATTTAAAGGCAATATTTTTGAACAGTTAAAGGAATTTAAGTGTTCGTAAGTGGAGGGTTGCTTAGCTCAATAGTATTTATGTAATACGGTTAAGATTATTTGTTAATTCTACCTGCTTGTATATTTTAGCAGGATAGTTGGGCCAAGATGTTTAATAACATGTTTTTTAAATGGAGAACCTATTCCAGAAGGCACAAGTCCAATTTTTACGACAGCTATGAGAGGACTTTGCATATGTGTATCCGGATTGCCACCAGATATGAAAGTACTTTACCAATTTACCATTGATAAAAGTTTTACATCTCTTATCATTAACTAATTCATATGTGTCCGTAGATTCAGATACAACAATTGGTAGAATACATGGGAGGTTTTTTTACTAAACAATTACGTAGTTGTGTAACACACTTAATTACAAATTGTGTCATGTCTGCAAAATATGAAGTGAGATCAATTGATATTACCTTTATGTCACATTATAAAAAATATAATATTATTTCATCTATATTAATATTTTCTTTAGAGAGCTGTAGAATTGAAGATACCGGTTGTTACAAAAGATTGGGTCATAGCCATATGGGAAGAAAATTTAAATAATTTTATTGAAGCAAAGGATCCAATATTCGATAAATATAAGTGTCCTGTATTTATGAATTTAGTTGTTACGTCAACAAATTTATCCAAACGACAAAAGGAAGAAATTAAGAATTTGATAAATAGTAATGGAGGGGTAATTTTATTTGATTTAACATTCTTATTTTATACGCTCTATTATATTTCTTATAAAACAAATATATATCAATATTTCAGACATTCATGGGTCCATTAGACGGCTTAAAAGTTAAAATTGTTATTGCGCCAGAAAATAGTTCATTAACTGACAAGTTAACATTTGCAATGCAGAATAATATACCATGCTTAAAGCCAGAATGGGTATATGAAAGTGTGAAAATTGGATATGCTTTACCATTTAATAATTATCTTATTAAATCTACAAAAGCATGTTCAACGCCAGAAAAAATGCGAGGTAGTTTATCTTTAATTTTGTATTTAAAAAGATAACGTATGTTAGATAAAAATAATAATTTTATTATGCAATAATAATCTATAATTATAGCATGTGAGATGGAAAGTTTAAATTTTTCGACAATAAGTACCATTAATCGTGAATTACCACAAAACAATTACGTAGATGAAAGTTTAGCATCGACAACTTCTAATACTTTTAGTCTGGATGCTGCAGTGACAAAAATAGGTAATGATGCAAATTATAAAAATGCAAAAACTAAACACAAATCGTTTTTCAATAAAATTATATTATTATTAGTTACAGAGCTTACAGTTTTAGAACGATTATCTCTCAGTGAAGCCAAATTGGCTGGACCGTTTTTAGATGGCTGCAATGTAAGTTAATATATTAATTTTTGTACTTAATCATAAAACACGTTCACTCTATCCAACTATATGGTTTATTTTTGCAGATTTATCTTGCTGGATTTACAATGAATCAAAGGGATAAACTTAATAGAATTTTGAATGTAGGTAGTGCAACACGTTTGAATGATATATCGGATGCTTTAACGCATGTTATTATTGGAGATGAAAGTAAAGCCACTAATGAAATTAAATTAATGAAGTCATCAGGATTGTGGTATTTATTTGACATTTTCTTCTCATTAATCTTACTCAACATTTTAATCAGATGTCGTATAGAAACAAAATCGTTGTCGTTTAGAAGATAGTTTTAGATTATTCAATATACATTTTATGATAATATTCTGCATTATTTTTATAGCCCACATATATTAAACATTAATTGGATAGAAGAAAGCATGAAATTAAAAAGACCCGCACCAGAAGAACAATTTTTATTTTTCAAGTCGAAAACCAATACAACGAAAACAATTAACGAACCTCCTCCTTCTCCTCTAAGTAAAAAGGTTATTTTCTACTTTTAACATATAAAAATTTGTGTGAATGATTTATAATCAATTTCTAAAATTAATTAAAAATATGCAGAATTTACAAATGCTGCAACCACCCAAACGACCACCGATTCCACGTTTCGATATTGATAAAGCATCAAAGGAACAAAATGAAGAGGACATTTTAAATCAATATCTTCAAAATATTGTTGGTAATATGAAGAATTTTTCTTAAATAATGGTCTTAATAATAAATATTTATTATTATTATTACTATGCATTGTTTTTTGTTATTTAAAAAAGAAATTACTTTTTAAATATAGTAACCGATAAATCGGTGGAAAACTTTTTAAAACCTTATAATTCTGATATCAATGAGAAAAAAATGGAAACATCCATGGAGCCTAGATCAAGTATAAAAAATAATCGACGAAAGATAATGTCAGAAAACAGAGAGTCGAGAAATAGTAACACTATACCATTTAGCCAAGAAGAACCAGATGCTACTCAAAAAATATTTACTGGTAATATAACTAAACTCAAATACAATATGAATATGAAATAAAACAACCGAATAATACATATAATACTCCATAGGTTTTACATTCGTTATAATTGGCTTCAATGATGACGAAATACAGGATAATGTTACTGGTTTAGGCGGTGAAGTTGTATCAAATACTTATCCAGGAATTCCAGACTTTGCTGTTGTGCCCATATATGGAGCACCACTTAGACACTCAGTTAATGAAATTGTCACTGATCTATTTGTTGTAAGTTTTAATGATAAATAAAATATTACTATAAACAATGAAAATATTAAATGTTACTTTTCATCTTTCCAGGAAGATTGTAAAAATCAAGAACAAATAGTTGATATTGAATATTATCATAAACCATTTTCTATAAGTAAAGATATAAATCCTTTAAGAGATTGTATCGTTACTTTAAGCATGTATACAGGAGTAGAAAGAATGTATCTTTCTAAATTGGCAGAAGAACTTGGAGCTGTGTAAGATATCCTGATATTTTTACATTAATGATATTTAATGAAATAATAAATACGGTTGTCTTTTAGATGTCAAGACATACTTGCACGTAAAACAAATAATGAAAAAAGTACTTATGCTAGTACTCATTTAATCTGTCCTTCCCCCGAAGGACATAAATACAAAGCAGCAGTTAAATGGAAATTGCCAGCTGTTACTGCTGAATGGTTAAAGGATTGTGGGACAAGAGTAAAACGCTTAGATGAAACACCCTATCTTGTCGGAGAAACAATAGGTAAGTAAGCTTATATCTAATTATAATATTATATCATTTTTCATTGAAAATTTTGGTTTGCGATAGCTCCGGAAAAACCTCCAGAATCACCGAATGTGAGTAATATAAAAGAAAATCCAGTTAAATCTGCTATGTCTACTCCTAGAATGATTCTTACTCCCAAACGACATTTACCTCAAAATAAGGTAATAAATAATTATAAAATATTTCTTAATATAAATGAAATATCTTGAAATATATAAAACATAAATATTTATTTTTATATAGAATCAAGAAACGAATAACGAAGAAACTCCATTGATAAATAAACGACTTAGTTTAGTTATGAATAATACACCACAATCCCCATTTCATGTATCCACACCAGAAACACCTTACGGTCAAGTTTTTAAACCAAATCCTTCTCCAGATACGAGAAAAGCATGGGTCAAATGGGTAAACAATTTTCCAGATTTACGAGTAGAAGAACCTCCTCCAAAAAGAAGAGCTCCCAGTACAGTACGTATTATCGCATTTATTTTTATTTTTATATTTCTTTCGTAAAAGTTAAATTAATAAAATGTTACAGCCACTTTCAGAGTTGAAGAAACAATTATGGGAACAACTAAAAAATCAAGGGCAAAAGACTGAGGTACTTATACTATATACATATATCTACAAATTATAATAAATAGTACATTTATAATATAATTTTATATTTAGGAAGAAGCTAATACTTCGATGATACCTAAATGTGATAATAGTAATAACGAATTATCCAAAAAAAATGAAGAGAACGATGATACACCTTACAAAAGTAATTCAATTAATAGAAAATTACATTTCTCTCAAGAGAATAGTCCAATTGCAAATGCACAAATAAATCTGTAAGTTTTATTAAAGATTCTTGCAATTCTTGATATTGATAAAACATTTAAAACAAACATACGTGTATATGTTATTTGTTACAGGCAAATAGCTCAATTGGAGCAAGCACTTCAACGGAGTTCAAGTGCTGAGAACAGGCAATCAATATCGAACGAAAATAACAAAAGATACGAACATACAGAACCTTCGGATTCTCTTCATAAATGTATGTAAATAATGTAATTGATTGTTCTTCCGATAGAATGAATACACTTTATAAAGTATAATCTTTACAGTTATTTACAAAGATTCACAGCCAGATACTGTAGGATGGGAAGATCCTGGTCTTCGTAAACCGATTAGACCTGTAAGTTTTTAGATATAGATTGAGATTATTATTGTTTTGTATATTTTTGCTAAATCCTCTTTATTCATATCAGAATATATTTTTAACATAGTCCACAGTACACGATGAATTAGGATATAGTGAAGATATTCATCAAGATGACAAGGATCGAAGTAATTGTAATTCAAACAAAAATATGACATTAGATGATCAAGATGACCATACCCAACCTTATGTTAGAAGAAAATTCATGCTTTCTGGAATAAGGGTTTGTATAAAATAAAAATGTATTAAAAAGAAAAAAAAATTAGGAACAAAGGATTAACGTAAATCGCATTATAACATTTCATTTTTATATAACAGGATAGATTAATCCACGAACAGGTAATACGAAAGCTTGGTGGAGATGTAGTTTCTGATGCCAGTTTTGATCCAAGCGCAACACACTTAATGTGCTTGAAACTATCGAGAAATGAAAAATTGCTTGGCAGCATAGCTGCTGGCAAATGGGTTATACACTGCATGTATTTACGAGATTCTGAAGCTAATGGTAATTTTTTGGACGTTAGTATCGATTTACTAAATTATGTATTATTCATTTGTATAGAAATATAAGATGATTATTTTGTATAAAAATTATAGGAAGAAAAATATGAATGGGGCAATCCAAAAAGTAAAGGAATTATACCGGATCCTATAGGAGAGGTGAATTGTGCAATAGCAGCAGCAGCTTATAGATGGAGAACAACATTACTTAAGGAACCTCGTGGACCTTTTCATGATATAGTGGCTCTATTATTTGCTTCAGAAGAAAAATATGATCAATTTCAAAGACTTATCGAGGCAGGAGGTGGTACTGTTGTACAGGCTAGGTTTGTATCACGTTAAAAATGAAATATGTGTGATAAAAAATAATGTTGTAATGAATTGTTGTTTATTACAGACCTCCTTACGACGTAAATTCTTCAGGAAAAAAAATAACTCATTGTTTCGTAAATACAAAACAGACCCAACAACCTATAGATTGGGCTAGATTAGCGAGTAAAGGGATTCTGTGTTTTTTCCCTCAATATTTAAGCGACTTACTTACAACGCAAGCTTCTTTAAATCCTAAAGATTGTGTCATACCTGAGTTTAAGAAATACCTTTCTCTTTTACCGAAATAATAATAGTTATGATCTAAATAAACATGAATGAATAGAAATACGAAGAAAGCATAGATTTGATCGTTAATCTTTTTTATACAAATATATATGTATATATATTTATAAAGTTAAAAAGTGTATATATATATAGTACAATTGCTAATTTTTTTCTTTTATTAGAATCATATTATTATATATAGAAAATCCTTGTAATCGTTACATTACATATTTTATATTTTTAATTCTCCACAGTTATTTTCTTGAAATCCAAAATGAAATTTTCACCAGGTGTTGTGAACATATTTGTAGGATCTGGTTTATAATTTCCATTTAAATTCAATGAAACTTCATAATTATTAATCACTCGGATTATAGCAACTGCAGTTTSTAACATGCCTACTCGCTGGGCTGGAAATGAAAAGAAATAATTATTTATCAAACATATTGTATTCGTTTAAACATTGAAACAATTTTGACATACCAATGCAGACTCTTGGCCCATCACCGAAAGGCATGTAAGTATATGGTAGAATATCTGCTTTTCTTTCGTCGCTAAATCGATCAGGATCGAAACGTAATGGATCAGGAAAATAATTCGGATCAAAATGCATGCCAGTTAATACTGTATAAACGGGTGTTCCTTTTTCTATAAGTACATTTGTTCCAGGTATCTACATGAAATACAAAACAATTTATATATATACACGTTACAATTAAAGTATATAATTAAAGTTTTCCATAATATAAAGAAACGTTTTAAGAAAAACGTATAAAACGTAAAAAAGTTTTGTAAAAATAGTGAATAATGAACTTTTCAAGTTTTCTTTTCAATTACCATATAATCTTTCGTTGCAACTCTGTCTATAATCGGTGCAGGTGGATGTAATCTCAAAGTTTCCGAGATCACCTGATGTAGATATTTCATTTTTTGCACGGCTTCGTAAGTGAATCCATCGGATTTTAATGTTTCACGTATTTCCGTTCTCAATCTGTCTTGCAATTTTGATTCTCTTGCGAGTTCAGCAAGAGTATAACATATCGTAGTAGCACTGCTCTCTCGACCAGCGATAAAAAATATCAGTGATTGACCGATTAGGATGTCTCCTTCGAATTCTAAATGATCATTATCATTATTATATAAATGTACATATTTATCATTTGTATAATATTATTATTATCGTTTGATATGCGCGCTTAAATTTAATTTGGATATTTCAAAAAACATCGAATTGACTTTCGCTTCTTACTGATGAAATTGTCATTTTGTTCCTCATTTTTTAATTCAATAAGAGAATCGATAAGATCTCCCCTTTTAATTCCAGATTTTTCTCGTTCGTTGAACGTATCCCAGAAAAGTTGATTAAAGTACTCCCTGGCCTCTCCCATCATTTTAAAATCAATATTTTTATTTAATTCGGGAAAGAAGAAAGCTGCATAGAATGTGAATGCCGTTTTTAAATTTGACTTGAAAGGTAAACGACCTGTATGGATATATGAAAATAGTCATTATTATTATTTGATTACGACATAATTACAATTGTAAATATTGATCGTTTGCTAACTTTGTCGATAGAATTCGGAAGTTTCCTCCTTGAACGAATTAGTTCGAATTCCAAAAGCCACGGTAGATACAACATCGGTAGTATATTTCATAAAAGCGTCCTTAGCATCGATCGTAACATTAGAATTTTGATCAAATTTTTCTTGAAGAAAATCTTGCATTGCTTCGGATGTCTCGTGCATCAGATAAAATAGTTTCTTTATTTTTCCACTCGTAAAAATCGGAGATAATTTAACTCTATTAAAATAAAGTTATATCATTATCTATTAGATCATCGAATAATTACCTATTTGCATTTGGATAGTATTCAAAACCATTAATTAACGCAATTAAATCAGACACARTCTTGTATTATCTTGTTTTCGTCTTTACGCGTGTAAAGTTATTATACSATAAACGAAATTAATCATGAATAATTTAGAATAACTTTATCATAGTATAAAAAAAAAATTATTAAAATAATAATTTATATATTAAAGAAATTCTTAATAAATCTTTATGTGTCGGTTATATTTTTTTAATTCCGATTTGCCAGAATAAATTTATCTTTGTACTGACGCTATAATTGTATTCCAATGTAAAGGTCTTTATGTAGTTTTCTGTAATTTAATAATCAATGATTAAGCAGTTTATTACCGTAGATGTTTCCATTCAGGATTATCTGCGGAAAAAAGATTAAAAGTAGCTAAGTCATTAGCTGATTTAGCTGAAAAATATCGATTACAAAAGACATCGAAATCTTTGATTAGTATCGTTTTAACAAGTTCATTATCTTTTATTAATAAAAATGGTTTATGTAAGATATATATTCCGAAAAATTTGTCCTTTTCATTAGCCTCCAGATAAAGATCTCCGAGTGCCGTACTTCCAGATTTACTCCTCAAAATTACATCCTTTAATTGGCGTAGTAACGAACTTGGTGGCAAAGAAGGTACACCTCGTCTTTTCCAATAGGATAATTTGTATTTCATCCACAAATAAAATACAACGGCGAGTGTTAAAACAATTAACAATCCATTAATAAAGAATTTGAAACCTGCGAATATTTTTAACATAGTAAATATGTAATATTTCATAAAGTTATTGCAATATTTTACATAAAACAATGATAGGAATAAAGAAAAAAATTAAATATTGGGTTGGCAACCAATTAATTGGTTGATTTCATTTATAGACGTCTCTCGCTCCCATTTTTATGATATTCTTAAATATTATGATCTTCTTCTTCTTATATATATATATGCTAGGTATCATCCTTACCTACCTTTACAAGTTCATTACGTAGATATTTTCTTAAAGTTTTTTTTTTACCTCAATATTAATGTGGAGTGCAAAAACGAACATTTTTGCCATATTTTGCTTTATTATTTTCGTAAAGGAAAGAATGCAGTGCAAGCTGCCACAAAGTTACGTGATGTATATGGTGATRAAGYCCWTAAAGAAAGGCAATGCCGAAATTAGTTTGAAAAATTCCGTTCTGGAGATTTTTCTCTTAAAGATGACCAACGTTCAGGTCGACCAGTTGAAATCAAAACCAGGATGAAATCAAAACCATCATCGAAGCGGATTGYCATGTAACTACAYGGGAGATTCACATACAGCCATTGAGAAGCATTTAAAACGTGTCGGGCTTGTTAAGAAGCTGGATATTTGGGTTCCGCACGATTTGAAAGGGGTTCATCTGACAAAGCACATCAACGCTTGCGATTTATTGCTTCAACGCAATGAATTCGATCCGTTTTTAAAACGAATCATCACTGGAGACGAAAAGTGGATTGTGTACAACAATGTCAATCGAAAACGATCGTGGTGCATGCCTAAAGAGTCATCGCAAACCACTTCAAAGGCAAATATCCAACAAAAGAAGATTTTTCTGTCAATTTGGTGAGATTGGAAAGGTCCGGTGTATTTTGAGCTGCTTCCAAGGAACCAAACCATTAATTCGAAGGTCTACTGTCGGAAACTGGACAAATTGAATGCACAAATTGAATAAAAAGCGACCAGAATTGGTCAATCGTAAAAGTGTCATTTTCCATCAGGACGATGCTTGACCGCACACGTCTTTGGCCACTCGTAAAAAATTCATGGGTATTGGTTGGGAATTGATGTTACACCCACCATATAGCCCTGATCTCGCGCCATCGGATTACCATTTATTTTGATCCCTGGACAATTCCCTTCGTAGTAAAACTTTCAATGATTATGACACTGTAAAATCTCACTAAACTCATTTCTTGGCCGAAAAGGATCAGAATTTTTACGAGCGTGGAATTTTCAAGTTCTAAGATAGATGCTATAAGGGCATCAAACAGTATGAATAATACATCATAGATTAAAATTCATTCCAAGTAAATAAAAGAACTATTATTTTATTGAAAAAATCTGCAATTACTTGGTTACCAACCCAATATTTGTATATATATATATATATAAATACCAATAATCGCCATTTTGAATGAAGATGATTTATCTTGATTACTTTATCTGGTTAGTTYTTACACTTGTTGTACACTTGTTAAACAACTTTGTTTTAAACACATGAACTAAATTTATTACCTCGTATATTAATTGATGAATAAACTAGATTAATGAAATAAGTTTCTTGGGAAGAAACGACTTGTAACGTACATCATCTCAGGAGTTCAAAAGTAGACTGAAGTGATGAGCACATTACAAGCATAAAATTGAATTAATCTCTCTCTCTACTACGCAAATACTAATCTTATCACTTACGTTAGATATAATTTAAAAATATCATTTTCTAATATCATTCCAGGAATAATTCAATAATCATCTTTGTTTTTATTCCCGATATGTTTCATTATTAATACGCTCAAAATAAAATAATCTAATTAATTAATCATTTTACTAAGGATAATGTTACATAACAAAGTTGGAAGTAAAGAAAACAGATARGACTTTGGACTCTACGTAATACTTGCTTAATGTTACAATCAAAATAATAACAACGGAATTTTTTATGGAAAGAATATTATGTAAAACAAAGACCGACGATTACTATTGAATTGCACATTTTAAATTTCGATTATATTTACTATGATTATGTTATTGTATTATAAATAATATAATACTTTTTTAAAATAGTTTACTTTAATCGAAAATTGTAATCTCTTA